ATTTAAATCCAGATGTTTATAGCTCTTCAAAACCAACCCAATTGTGTAACTTCACTTTAAAGCCGACTTTAATCCCTATTTACAAAGCTTCTACACAGGCATTAGAATCTTCATTTTCAGCTGTGTAATTGTAATTTTTCGATCTCCTTCAATATAGAGGCAAAACGTATTGCAGTCGTACAGTCTGCACTTGGTCACTATTGTGTTCTGGGATGTCTGCTCATAAATGGCATGTCTCCTTCGTCTTCATATTCTGGATGAGCTGTGTGCTGTCCATGGTCCTGATCTCAGCACTAACACAACTACAGTGAGTGGTGTATTTAAAAATGTGCACAGCTGTTCGTCCATTGAAACTGCATGTAAGTTTGTTCTGTGCGAATGGGTACAAAATTGGCCTCTCCAGGTATGGATATTTTTCATATTGGTCCAATGGGGACTCTGATGTAAGGAGGAACCTTGATGTAAGGGGGACTCTGATGAAGACCTTGATGTAAGAGGGGACTCTGATGGAGAACCAAATATGAGAAGTACACTGATGGGGAATCTGATGAACGGGGGGTTCTGATATAAGGTGCACTCTGATGTTGACCCTGATTTAAGGGGGCACTCTGATATAAAGAGCACTCTGATGTTTACCCTGATTTAAGGGGGGCACTTTCTTATGGGGACCCTGATGTAAGGGAGCACTCTGATGGGGACCCTCGATGTGAGGGGGCACTGTGAGGGAGACCCTGATTGTGAGGGGGCACTCCATGGGGACCTGATGTAAGAGGGGACTCTGATGGGGATCCTGATGTAAGGGGGGACTCTGATGTTGGCCCTGATGTAAGGGGGGCACTCTAATGGGGACCCTGATGTGAGGGGGGACTCTGATGGGGACCCTGATGTGACAGGGGACTCTGATGGGGACCCTGATGTGATGGGGGACTCTGAGGGGGAACCTGATGTAAGGGGGTACTGTGATACAGAACCTGATGTAAGGGGGCATTCTGACAGGAATTCAGATGTAAAAGGGGACTCTGATTGGAACTCAGATGTAAGGGGGCTTTGCTATAAGGTGCACTCTGATGGGGACCCCCAGGTCACACAGTACAGTGGAGCACAGAGCATTCCACACTGCATATTCTCCTTTCTCACTTACTTTGGAACCAATACTGTGCCCGATGCTGGTGTACAGCTGCCTCATAAAAGGTAGTACAGTTAGAGACCAACTCCGGGAAATCTAAACATCCTCCCTTCCAGGGACAGAAAATGATCTTCAGTGATGGGCTTTATCATCTTCCCTTCATGTTTTCTCTGGAGTCTGCTGTGGGATATATTGTCCATGACTCCAAATGGGTTATAGCAGGCTCTGGCAGTCATTGCCATGCACTGAGGGATTCCTGTGTTTACAGTAATGGCAGTCAAGCGAAAAAATTTAAAGATACTGAGAAGAAGATTATGTGATTTCTACTCGCTAACTGTGATGTCTTTTTAGTCACTTTACTCTTGTATGTGCAACTGTACAACTTCAGGTCCTGAGTTATTACATTTTTGGGGGTAGCAGGGTAGAGTAACAATCTGTCTTTTGTCATCTTTTGTTACACCATTGATACTGCTGATGTCCTGAAGCCGCTCTGCAGCTTCATCCAGTCCACATGCACTCCAGTGATGGCTTCATGGTATTTCTCAGTGATGGTTTCTTGATGGTAGACCATGTCTTCATAATGCATTTTGAAAAGGCCACCTATAATCTCCATGGTAAACCCATAGTAAAGGGTTTGTGAAGGCATCTGGTGCACACAGAGTAATGTATATTTTGTGACCATGGAGAAATATATTTAAATGAAATAATCTCATCATTGGCTGAATGGGATTGTGAGATGGACTAGATTGGATTAGAATGGATGATCTCATGGGATGAAGGTAAATCTGACTCATTCAAGCTTATGTGGATGGTATTATCTCATTTCAGATACCTCTCTAACTTTGACTCCTTTATATCTGCTAAGGTCTGAAGCAGGGGGCGGACTGACCATTTGGAAACTCGGGCACTGCCCAAGGGCCCGGGGTCAGTAGGGGGCCCCATGAGATGCCCCTGGTACCTTTTTCATAGGCTTTTTTGAGTTTGGGCAAGGACACAGGGGCCCCATGATCCCCTATTGCCCGGGAGCCCCATGAGTTGTCAGTCCGCCCCTGGTCTGAAGTCCCCATCATTTCCAAGCTCCTCCCATGGTTTCCCTTTAATATCCCCCTTCACCCCCCCCCCCTTTTTTTTTTTCTTTCTTTCCTTTTTTCCTTTATCTACTATCTTTTTTGTATACTTCACTTGATGGCTGGCTCTACCGCATTGCCTGCTAACCCAAATAGCTTATCCCCAGTTGAACTGGATTTTGCTGTTTGGTATCCCACATGGTGCATTCCTATTTCTTTTACATCTGCTGTTACTTTAATGTAGTCCAATGCTTCTGAAGACTGGAAGGTTTTGACACTATACATCTTATCTGTGTCTCGTAACCACTGTTTGCTGTTCTATATTGTATTTTGCTCATAATATTTGGGTTGTACGAGTTTGTATGCACTTTGCAATTTGAATTTGTACTGCAAACCTGTATTATCTGCCAATACTTAATAAAAATATATTGAATATAAATTAAATAATTTGTGTCTAGAGCTCAGTTTTACCCAGATTTAAATTTTGTTTTAAAAAAAAATGCATTGTTAAAAATTACTAAAACCCCACGTTCTATAAATTTTCTGATAGCAGAGGACCTGTAAAATAAAAAAGAAACCGCAAATTTATTTATCTATATTTTCAATTGAAAAAAATACACTAAAAAGAATTTTAGCGCACAAAAATATTATAGATCCCAATGTTTTTATAAAATGTAAATAGATAAAAAAAAAAATGTATCAAGCAAATTGATACGCCAGGCCTCCAAACCAAACATGTCAAACTGTGATACCTAAAATAAAAATTGTAAATAGGCAGCGCTTTGAAAACCTCTACAGTTCACTCATTTAATATGAACTATAAAATGAACTAGTAAAAAATAATTCCTCTCACTCCAGCATTCACGGCAAAACTTATACTGTATACGCTGCACAATTGTCGTTTATGCACCCGCATGCTTTGTATGCATGTTTGTGTTGATATGCGATTGCAGGTTGGCAGATTTAAAAAATCTTTTTTTTTTTTCAATTTATTTTTATATCAATTTTTTTACACAGTTTTTACATTTTCCCTCAATTGTATTGCTATCACAAGGGGGGCTGACAAGCAAATATGAAGTGACAGGTGCTCTTTGTGGAGTCATCAGGGGTCGGTCTGCTGCTTTTCCTGCAGCCACAAGTTTGTATACGCTCCATTATTGCCACATTATAATACTTTCAGTAGCAGTAGAAAAAGGGATCATGTAAGCTATTGCAAATTACATTTAAAATTACATTTAGGCTTTGTGCACATGGGCAGATAAAATGCTGCTTTTAGGAGCATTCTTAATTTTTTGTTGTTTTTTTTCCTGGCTCTGAATGCAGATTTATTTCAACCAATGTATTCATGCACATTGTGACTTTAAGCTCCAATTTTAGAGCAGAAAGAAAATGCTCTAAACCTACGTTTAGTAAGGTTTTCACTGGCATAATTTATGTGCATATAATAATTAGAATAAATAAATATTCCAGTTAATAGAGTATTGGCTTCTAAAAATGCTTCTAAATGCTTATAAACACCCATAATTACATGCCAAAATGACTAGCTCCCGGCTGGAAAATCCAACGTAAAACAGGAGTATTTTTAATATTAAAATGATACTACAGGTTTATCTTTTATAACAAGCATGTCATATTTACCCTGCTCTGTGCAGTGGTTTTGCATAGAGCATCCCTGATCCTCCTCTTCTTGGGTCCCCTGACGGCGCTTCTGGTCCCTCCCCCCTGCTGAGTGCCCCCAGAACAAATGGCTTGCTCTAGGGGCACTCATGCATGCTCTCTCCCGAACCACCACTGTGTGTCCATAAGACATACAGAGTGTGGCTCGGGCCCGCCCCCCCCATCCCTCCTCACTGGTTCCTGCTGCTGTATCTTAGCCAATGAGGACAGAGAGTCCTGGGAGAGCCACTGCTCCTGTGCACATTGCTGGATCAAGATTAGGCTCAGGTAAGTATTGGGGCGGGGGGGGAGCTGCACACAGAAGGTTTTTTTAACTTCATGGATAGAATGGATAGAATGCATGAAGGTAAAAAACCTTCAGCCTTTACAACAACTTTAATACACCTGTGTGAATGAAGCCTAACATGCGAAGACAAAGAGAAAGAGGGACCATGATTACCGTATTTTGAAATATATGTATGTTGTCACTATGTGCTGAGTGGTTATCCTTTACTATAAATTGGGGGGCTCAAATTGATGTGCTTTGTTCTTATCGTCTCTTTTGAAGAGTATCTTTTGTAATATAGGTCCTAGTATGGACAAATAATTATTTTATGTTAATAAATGGTTATATGTATTTTATTGTGTGGTCTCTTACTGCGTCCAAAGAAACCAATGCCTTACCGTACTTAGCAGTTCAGTCCTTTTTCTTTTCAATATTTATAGGATTTGGCACTATGAAGCTTGTTTTGATTTTTTTAACCACAAACCTACCGGGCACTTATACCCCCTTCCTGCCCAGGCAAATTTCCAGCTTTCAGCGGTCACACTTTGAATGACAATTGCACGGTCATGCAACACTGTACCCATATTAAATTTTTATAATTCTTTTGTGACAATTAGAGCTTTATTTTGGTGGTATTTAATCACCTCTTGGATTTTTATTTTTTCTTAAACAAACCAAAAACCACTGAAAAGTTTGAAAAAAAAAGTTTTTTCTTAGTTTTTGTTATAAAATTTTGTAAATAAGTAATTTTTCTCCTTTACTGATGTGCGTTAATGAGGCTGCAGTGATGGGCACTAATAGGCTGCACTGATGGACACTGATAGGTGGCACTGATGGGCACTGATGAGGAGGCACTGGTAGGTGGCACTGATGGGCATTGACATGCATCACTGATGGGCACTGAAAGGCAGCACTGATACATTGCACTGATAGGCGGCACTGATAGGCGGCACTGACTGGCACTGTTAGGCGGCACTGACTGACACTGATAGGTGGTGGCACTGACAGGCACTGATAGGCGGCAATGATGCGCACTGATAGGCGGCACTGACTGACACTGATAGGCGGCACTGACTGACACTGAGGGTGGCACTGATTGGCAGCACGGATAGGTGGCACTGATTGGCATTGATAGGTGGCGCTGACTGGCACTGATGGGTGACACTAAAAGGCAGCTCAGATGGGCACTGATATGTGGCATTGATGTGCACTGGTAGGCACTGATATGTGGCATTGATGTGCACTGGTAGGCACTGATATGTGGCATTGATGTGACACTGATGGACACTGACAGGTGGCACTGCTGGGGCTACACTGATCATCAGGGCACACTGATCATCAGTGCCCTGATGATCAGTGTACATGTCCCCTCCGCAGAAAGCCGATTACCGGCTCTCCTCTCCTCTCGAGCTGTCAGCTGTGATTGGACACAGCTGATCACATGACCGAGCCGACATCTTCGGCTCTTTCCATGATTGGTGATCCGCTGTGTCCGAGGGTCACAGCACACACATGCGCGGTGAGAATGGGAGGATGTCATATGACGTCCTCCCAGAATGAGAAAACCACCTTGCGTCCGTCATATTACAATATGGTGGGCGGGAGATTGTTAAAGGACCATCACACATCACATGACTGGACAAAGACATCAAGAAAAAAGGTAGAATTGTGCTTTAGGCTAGGTTCACACCAATGCAGTGCAGTACATCGCATGTGATTCGCAGAGGAAACCACACCGCATTCCTGTGCAAATCACATACGATTTGTGTGTGGTGCGATCGGAGCCATACATTATGTATGGCTCAAATCGCACTACACCCACACCAAAAAGGTGCAGGACCCTTTTTTGGGTCAACACTAGAATCGGATCGAATGGGTATTCACACATATGCGATCCGATCCTACACATCGCACCGCATTTTGTGGACCGATTTCGAGGTGTTAACTTAACATACACGCCCGCATCGGTTCGCATGAATAGGGTCCGATTCTGATGCAGTGCAGAATTCGCACCGAAAACTCTGCAAATTTCTCACCGCATTAGTGTGAACACAGGCTTACAGCTGGAAGCAGGGTTAGAGAAAAAGTTACTTCCAGTGGATTCCCCAACCTTTACTTCCTGGCTGTTTTTTCTCCCTGCTTTGCAGGGAGAATAAACAGCCAGATCGCTATTCCCTGTATTTGTAAACACAGAACTCAGTGTGTGGTTGGACACAAAATCACTTATCAAAATCAGCTGGAAAACTTGTGCTGTGTCCACTCACAGCTTGGGACTGACGAGGTGTGCGCATGCACGCCACAAACCCAATGGATCGGCTGCTACGTACCAGTTCATCACCTGGCCTGCAAGATCCACTCATTTACAGTACTTGCACTGTGGGCGGGTGGGAAGTGGCTAAGATATAGTGAGTGATTAAAAGAAAAGCCCCAAAATCAACACCAGCTTATGGGAGGAAATGGTTTATAGAGGTATAAGTCTCTGGAACAAACCGATCTAAAGAAGGGCCTGAGTAATAGGACCAGTAACTCCTGTGATCAGGGTGTAGAGTTAGTTCACCAATAAAGGAGCAAATTGGATCGTGCTTTGCTGCATTTTTTGCCTTCCTCTGGATCAACTTTGGGTATAGGATTGTAACTTTTTTTTTTTTTTTTTTTTAGATGGTTGACCTGGATGGACTTTTGTTTTTTTTCAGCCAGACTAACTATGTAACTATGTAATATAAGGTGATAACCCATTGGATAGCCCTATACAAGTTTGTACAAATTTTCATACAAATGTTCATTTTAAAATCTACTAATGCTGTATCAAACCCAAAAACAAAAAGGTCATATATTGCACTTTATGCATTTATAGGCGCGTTGGCTGCAATTTCTTTTTTTAGGCTTTTTTTTTTCCATTTGTTTTGTTTTCAATGTCCTTTAACAGACCAAGCTGTTCAGAAAAAGTGGCATTTAACCCGTTCACACCAATGCAACTTGTCATGCAATTTGACACACCCAATGCACAGCAATGGAACCATTCTAATCTATTTGAAAGGCAGTTCCTGCACTACTTTTGGCAATTGCGGGTGTGACTGTCATAGACATCTGTGCATGAAGTCGCACAGATGTCTTACAAGTGGCACTGACATCCAACTTTGAAATCGTGTCACTGAAAACGCACAATTTCAAAGTCGTATTCAGAATAAACCCAGGCTTAGAAGGTTGAGACAGACCATTTAACACTGACGGGTGCTTGCAATCATCAGCTTTTATTTATTTATGTAAATCCTTCATCCTAAAAGGACAGAAAAAGAACTGTTGATGAAACTGCTTAAATAATGTTAGTTATAATTTGGTTTTAGCTTGTTAGTCAAGTCTAAATCTGCTAGTCCAACACTACCCTTTCCCCAAACGGACAATGCTGCTCTCCAAAAGGTATCGGCTTTACTACTTCATCCAGAATGGACACATCCTAATATAGAAAGTGTGCTACTGGTTGGGTCACCAGGTGAAATAAAGGGAAAAAAAGCCTGAAAAGAGAAAACGAATGCAGCCACCACACTTAGGGATTGCTAAACTGTAATATTTAAAATTATTGGTTTTGGACTTAATTCTGTTTTAACCCTTGCAGTGCAGAGGTGGCCCACTACAAGGGTAGCTTTTCTCCAGCCTGGCGGTCTGATTTAAAGGATAACTTCACCTTTTAACAAAAAATAATAAATGCACATTTTTGCAGGTAAAAAAAGGGCATTTACTATTTTTTGTTTTGGGAATAAATACATCAGTGGTTCATATAGTGAACTCGGTGTAGAGCTATTCACCCTGAGGTCATCACAGAGGACAAGGGGGCACTCTTTACGTCTGGAGGAAAATAAATGTAATCTCCAAACATGGAAAGGTTTCTTCACAGTAAGAGCTGTGAAAATGTGGAATAGACTCCCTCAAGAGTTGGTTCTGGCCATCTCAGTGGATTGCTTTAAAAAGTCCTGGATTCTTTCCTAGATACACAGAATATAACTGGTTACTATCATTTATAGGTTAAGTTGATCCAGGGAATATCCGATTGCCTCTCGGGGGATCAGGAAGGAATTTTTTTCCTCTGCAGGAGAGAACTGGATCATGCTTTGCTGGATTTTTTTGCCTTCCTCTGGATCAACTGTGGGTATAGGATTATAACTTTTTTTTTTTTTATGGTTTTTATGGTTGAACTGGATGGACTTTTGTCTTTTTTCAGCCAAACTAACTATGTAACTATGCAACCTGGAAACCAGTGCACCAGCAGATCGCTGGTGCCATGCAGGACTCCTGCAGACCTGTCAGTGTATTTGTGTGCTTGTACCTCATACTGACAGGAAGAATCGATGAACTACCACAGCGCTCAACAGCACCCTGGTTATTCATTAGGAACTACGAGTCAACATCTGCAAAGGCTGTCAGAACTTGTAAAAAAGAATAATTAACGAGCGCTTGGAGATGTATAAAAAGCTGCTGGCATGAAAGGCACAAACCTCAAACCTTCACACTGAGACAATATCGCATGCAGCGCTAAAACATATAAAATAACATATACAGTAATAAGTGATGGACTACTAGTGCTTAGTAGTGATTTATAAGTGTCCACATAATATAAAATGCTGTCGTCCCAATAAACTGTGCAGGACGTGATGAACTCCGTGCTGTGAAGTGTTTAATACTATGCACTCACCAGAAAGCGCATAATATGCGCGTTTGAGTTGTCAGACCACTCCTGGTCCCACGTTATCAAAGGGGGTGCTCGTCCGCACGAAACGCGTCAGGGTGGAGCTAGCCGGTGACGTCACGCCGTTCCGTACCTCGTGGAGGCCGGCGGCCATCTTTGAATCTGGGAAATCCTGTGAGTGACCTGTGTTTACATTATCTTCAATAAAGAACCTTTGTGGAACATACTACACTATCAGTATTTTTTGGGGTGGGCTTTCTGGTCAAGCCCCCCCCCCCTCTCTTAAGATGGATACTTCACATGAGTGCCCTGGTTAAGGAACCTGGATTAGCCCTATAAGGGTTTCTGGATGTCGGGAATCCCCCTGCTGGCCAAGAAGTGACAGAGTGACAGCTTGCCAGATGATCCAGACAGGTTCAACTTTTCTGGGACCAGGAGTGGTCTGACAACTCAAACGCGCATATTATGCGCTTTCTGGTGAGTGCATAGTATTAAACACTTCACAGTACGGAGTTCATCACGTCCTGCACAGTTTATTGGGACGACAGCATTTTATATTATGTGGACACTTATAAATCACTACTAAGCACTAGTAGTCCATCACTTATTACTGTATATGTTATTTTATATGTTTTAGCGCTGCATGCGATATTGTGTCAGAACTTGTAGTTTTCCCATTCACAGAGTACTGTGAATGAGTGACGTGGCCGGATGGGCAGAGCCCCGCACAGATGCGTTTTTTCCAGCTGTCACGGAGGATCGAGGGGGAGCGGGGGCCAGTCTTACACCATGAATATGGATGTAGCATTTAACAAGTAACATGTTACGAAACTTATCCTTTAATACTTATATGAGATTTTACTGATTTACACATCTTTTCATTTTTCTTGTCTCATATATAATGGTAGATCTACTGGAGATCCCTGAAAACCATCAGGTGGTGTCACTGATTTGTAGACTCTGGGGTCACCAATACACAAAAAACTGTCACATATATCATACTAAATGAAAGGCAGCTGATTTATAATTGACGTGCGTGTAAATCTTTTGAATAATGCTCTATCAAGCACTTGTACTTTGCAGCTTGGTTTTTCATTTGCAATGCCTGCCGCCTTCCTCATATCTTGTTCTTTCCAGCTTTACAGAAAGCTGTCTTACAATCCTGAAAGCTTGTTAAGCTGTGGGGTGGCAGAGCGACAGTCTGTGTCAAGACTTCCTCTCGTTTTGCCATGTGAAGCAGTGTTTACAAAATCCATTATGTACTCCATGCTCTCAGCTCCTGACAGCAATGTCAAGTTGTCAATTTCAGAATACTGGCTCTGCTTTGCATAGCAGCTAAAAAGAGTGGACTTTGTATTGTGTTACGTGTTCCTGAACGAGGTCATGGAAAGTTAGAGAACATTAACTGTGGTAAGCAGGGACGGATGGGAACGTGTCATGCAGGGCCAACCGGGGTGAACCTAGTTCTCC